GTCGACCAATCATGGCAGCCCTACTCCCAGAACACAAAGACCGCTCAAAACCAAAACTGGAACCCTCCACATCCAAACCCTGCAGAGCCCCTTAACGACAACATCCCCCATAGATGCGCTCGCCAGACGTGCATCCCAACACACAGGTTTGCAGGAATTGAAACAATACAGTGAGATAAAGATTTGGTGACATCGCCCAGTCTCAGACTCCACAAAACGACACAGGTCTGTACGGTAGATCTCCTTGGTTTTCATTGTAATGACCTTCTCTTGGTATGATCTGACGTGGGCAAGCAGAAGATTCACGGTGTGTTAAACCCCCGTGTCCATTCTCATCAGATCACTGTGACATCTAAACGCTCCACAAATACACAAGATGACCACAAAGTGACCCCTGCAAGACTCCATCAAGTGATGATAATGCATCGTCTGTCTTCATTCACTGTTCTGACCACTAAACGCTCCAGCAACAGCCTGATAACACCACTTGTGATGTCACCTCTGTGGTGCTTGTAGATGTGTCATCTCCTTGCAAATTTCATTATTTAAAAAAAACCTCACTGGTCTCTAACCATTTGTCTGGATGCCTAAGTTTTTTTTGTCAGTGGGTGTTAGTAAAAAAAACAAACTTTTAATCTTTTACAGTGTTGTGAAAAAGGGTTTCCTCCCTTCCTGGTTTCTTGAGTTTTTGCAAGTTTGTCCCACTTAAATGTTTCGGAACGTCAAACCAATTTAAATATTAGTCAACGACAACACAACACAAAGTGCTATTTTTAAAAGAAGGTGTTTATTATTAATGGAGGAAAAAAATCCAAACCTGTGTGAAAAAATGATTGCCCYCTAAMCCTAATAGCTGGTCGGGCCACCTGTAGCAGCAACAACTGCAATCAAGCGTTGGTGATAACTTGCAATGAGTCTTTTACAGCGTTTGAAGGAATTTTGGCCCACTCATCTTTGCAGAATTGTTGTAATTCARMCACATTGGAGGGGTTTTGAGCAWGAAAKGCCTTTTTAAGATGACACAGCATCTTAATAGAATTAGGCTGCTCCAAAGTCTTCATTTTGTTTTTCTTCAGTCATTCAGAGGTGGACTTRCTGGTGTGTTTTGGATCATTGTCCTGCTGCAGAACCCAAGTTGGTTTCAGCTTGAGGTCACGAACAGATGGTSGGACATTGTCCTTCAGGATCTTTTGKTAGAYAGCAKAATTCATAGTTCCATTTATCACAGCAAGTCTTCCAKGTCCTGACGAAGCCAAACAGCCCCAGACCATCACACTACCACCACCGTGTTTTATTGTTAGTATAATGTTCTTTTCTAGAATGCAGTGTTTCTTTTACGCCACATGTACTGAGACACAACTGCAAAAGTGTTCAACTTCTGTCTCATTGGTCCACAAAATGTTTTCCCAAAGGTTTTTGGGATCATCAAGATGTGTTCTGGTAAAATTGAGACGAGCTTGGATGTTCTTCATACATGTCAACTTGTACAGATTGTCTGTAAGTTATAAGGATTTTACATCATTTTGCAGATATACGGACGTATAGGACAATCTCATGGATTTTTTCCAAGTCTTACAGATTTTTTTCAAAACCTCATTTTCAAATTTATCTAACATGTCAGAGCCTGTAGGATGATTTCAAAAACAATAACATCAAAGAGCCATCTTCCAACCCGTTCTGCCAAATTTACGGATAAATTTACAGATTTTTGGGGCTCTTCATACAGGTAAACGTGTATTGTGTTGTCATTGTATTGACATGTATGGTTCCTTTTGCTCAGCAGTGATTTTTGTCCAGGAACTCTGTCATGCAGGCCGTTTTTGCCCAGTCTCTTTCTGATGGTGGAGACTGAACACTGACCTTAACTGAGGCACGTGAGGCCTGCAGCTCTTCGGATGTTGTTCTGGGGTCTTTTGTGACCTCTTGGATGCGTTGTCTCTGCGCTCTTGCAGTAATTTTGGGCGGCCGGCCACTCCTGGGAAGGTTCACCAC